GCACGCCCCGCATCCCAGTCTTGGGGAACAGCCCCCCTCCACATTGCCTGTCCATAATCTGCAGGGAGATCGATGACGTGATCAGCGCCGACCTGGAGGCCCTCATGGTGAGGGGCTGCTGTGGGAGGGGGCGACGAGGGAGGGATGGGCTTTGGGCTAGGACTAAGTGCCCCCTGTCCCGTTCCGCAGGTCCCCTACAAGCCCCTGGAGCTGGAGTTGGTACAGCTGTTTCTGGAGCTGGCTGGGGAGGTGAGGGGGCCCTGGGCTGCGGGGCAGTCCCTCCCCATTTCCTGCTCTCCAGCCCCCTCGTCCTAGGCGGCTCATTTTGATTTCCCTCCGGCTCCCCCTGTGCGCTCTCTCATGAACTTCTTTTCTGGAGAAGTCCAAGCCTCTTCCCGCCTTGAGCCTTCCTTCAGCAGTACCCTCTAATTTTCCTTCCTTTGCACCTCCTGCCAGGCTGACGCCTCAACTTTCCAAAGTGTCCTTCTATGGAAGCTGCCCCTGTCACCCAAAGGTGAACCCTGAGAAAGGACAGGCCTGGGGTTCTCCCAGYCTCTGTCACACCCCCAGCCCAGCCTAGCTCAGGGCCTGGCCCAGAGCAAAGGGCCTCACAAGCGACTCTTTCCCTGACCAGGAGGAAGAACTCAACGCCTATCAGCTCCAGACCTTGCTAAGCATCGCCCTGGAACCTGGTGAGTTCGGGTGGAGGACTGCTGGCCAGGGGTCATACAACTCAGAGCTGGACCCCAGAGCTCCCCATGTGTGCTCATCCATGATGCTGCTGGGGGTCAGGCTGCAGGAACCTTGGTTCAACCTGGCAGCCTCTCCCTGCACGTGCTCCATGGTGGATCCTGTGCCAAGCCCGTGCCAAGGCCACTTGGCTCCCCCTCCTCTGAGGCACGTGTGAGCAGACTGGCGCTCCCTGCTGGGTTCAGACCCCAGCTCTGCTAGTTAGAGCAATCGCAGGCTCTCGTGTCTGAGTCTGTATAAAACGCCTGCTGTGGGGAGCTAGGTCCCACAGAGTGCTCATGAYGGCTGGCATGCAGGGATTGACATTTTTCTTCTTGTAGCCAGGACYAACACCAGGCCCAACACCAGGACCCCTAGAGAGATCGGCGTYAGGACCTGTGAGCAGCTGCTGCGGTGTTTTGGGGTACATGGGGCAGTGCATGAGGGGATGTTGGGGGTCTCTCTTTTTTTCTGGAGACATTGATCTTAACCAGACTCCCCCATCCACAGCAAGGGCCAAGTTTGGCCCTGCACCACTTCCAGCAGCTCTGGAGCCACCTGCTGGTGTGGCAGGTAAGTTGGGGGGGGCCTGCAGGGCAGCCTCTCCCTGCACAGACACCCTGTGGGCGATCGAGGGCCCAGAGGACGGGGGATGGGGTGGGGGTGGGCGGGGACTGGACCACTCTATGTCTACTTGGAGTGACCTGGCTGGGATGTCCCTAGCTGGCCCATCATCCCTCTGAGGTTGCTCTGGGGGCACTGAATGTCTCAGGGATGGAGAGTAGTCTCTGGTCCTGGGTTGAAATCTCAGCTTCCAGCTGAGCCCCTTTCTGGMGGTGACCCCAGCCAAGTCCCCTCCCTTCCTAGGGCCTTTACTTGGCCACTAAGACCCCTGTGAAGAGGCAGGGATCAAAGATGTCTGCACAGATGACAGCGATAAGTCACCATTTACTGAGCCCTCCCTGCGCCTTTGTGGGTGGAAGCGCGACTTGTCCTCACAGGCCCTTGAGTTGCTTTTGTTCCCATGTCAGGAAGCGCGACTTGTCCTCACAGGCCCTTGAGTTGCTTTTGTTCCCATGTCACAGATCGGGAAATGGAGGCACAGAGTGGTTAAGCTGCTAGCCTGGGGCCTGTGGCCGGGAGAGCAGCTGCAGCCCAGGATGTGTGGCCTGGGAGGCCTGGTKTAGCCTCTTCAGCAAGCTCGGCCACTGCTCGAGGGCCTGGGCGGGGGGTGGGGGACGACTGACCTCCACTCCCCACCCAGGCCACGTTTGACAAGTTTGACGAGGACTCATCAGGGACCATGAACTCCTACGAGCTGAGGCTGGCGCTGAATGCTGCAGGTGTGGACAGGGTCCCTGGGGTGGCCATGGGGRCAGGGCCTGGCCCTCCTCCTTCTACACCAGTCTCAGCTCTGGGTGCCACTCAGCTGTGACCAGTCCTTTGTTGCCATTTCCTGGCAGGGACTGGGCGACCCTGGAAAAGGCCAGATGGGAAGGCAGGGAGGGAGCCCCAGTGTARTGGGGGGAGGGTGGGGTGGCCTGGGAGGTGGTGAGGTGGGTAGGGGTGCTCCAGGAAGGGAAGACTGGCAGCTGGTGCCTGAGAGGCCCTGGCTTTCCGGGGAGGGTGAAGGAATGTTCTGGATTCTGGAGAGCTGGGGTTGGAGTCCGCTGCCAACTCCCTCTCCTTGAGTCCCTATCTGTGACCTGGCCGAGCGCAGGGTGGCTGCAGGAGCCTGTGGAAGTTGGAAAAGCCAGGGAGAGGGCTCCTGTGTAGGGCAGGGGAGGGGCTGGTCRGCACTGGGAACCCGTGGCTCCTGAGCCACACCCCGGCCCTTCTGGCACCACAAAGTAGGCTGGGTGACTGTGACCCAGTGGGAGTGACAGAGTGAGACCCAGAGTGGGGAGCCAAGTGTTCAGGGATGTGTAGGACAAGATGAGCCAAAGTTGCGAACCAGGGCRCTGAGTCTGAGACAGGAACAGAGAGAGAATGACCCAGAACAGCGGGAAGGTCTGACCGTTTGTTCGTTGTCACCAAGTACCTGGTACCTGCCAGGAGTTATTCAAGGCAGAAGAAAACTGACCTTGAGAGTTTCTCTAGTAGGAATTCACACAGAGGGCAACCGCAGGGCCCTGGCTCTTTCTCAGGGCCTTCCGTCTGCCCTGGGCACAGCACCCACCACCCCAACACCTGAGAGCAGATGCCATGTCAGAGACCTAGAGCAGGTCACTCRGCCAGGAAGGTTTCCTGGCCAGGTTTTCCTGACCTGGAGACTCAGCTCAGCCTAGCACTACAGAAATACACTCGATAGATGCCTGGGGAGGGCTCTTTTTTTTTTTCTTTTTTCTTTTTGGTAGCAGGGATTGAATCCAGGGCTGCTTAACCACTGAGCCACATCCCCAACCCTATCTATCTATCTATCTATCTATCTATCTATCTATCTATCTCTGTATTTATTTAGAGATAGGATCTCACTAAGTTGCTTAGGGAATCACTAAATTGCTGAGGTTGACTTTGAACTTGCAATCCTCCTGCCTCAGCCTCCTGAGATGGGACTACAGATGTGTCAGGTGCCCACTAATAACTACCTGTTAAATGGATGAGTGTGCAGTTAGGTGCAGTGGAAGTTGGTGAAATTGTCCTGGTAACTGTGTACCTGGACATGTGGGGACGGAGGAGGAGAGGGTCATCAGGCAACCCTGAGTGTCTGAGGGGTGGAGGATCATGTGGCGTTTTTTTGAAAGGCTCTGTTAAGATTCTATAGCAAAGGTGACTTTGAAACTACTTCTGATGTAGAGCATGGAGAAACGACTGGCGTCAGACTGATGAAAATGTTTGCATACAGTTATTCTCCAGTGCTCAGTGGCAGAGAGAAAGTATTACAGCCCTTAAAAGGAACAAAAAGCCAGTAATAAAAAAGCACAGACATATAATACCAGCAACTCGGGAGGCTGAGGCAGGAAGATTACAAGTTAGAGGCCATCTCAGCAATTTAGTGAGACCCCCCTTWAAAAAAAATTTATTTGTTTGTTTTTAGTWGTAGCTGGACGCCATACCTTTACTTTATTCATTTTTATGTGGTGTTGAGGATCGAACCCAAGGCCTCGCACATGCTAGGCGAATACTCCACGGCTGAGCCACAGCCCAGCCCTAGAGAGACCCTTTCTCAAAATATAAAATAAAAAGAGATGGGGATGTGGCTCAGGGTTAAGTGCCCCTGAATTCAATCCTCAGTACCAAAAAACAAACAAACAAACAAACAAAAAAGGAACAATAATAGGTGCCTGCCCAGTAAACATGAGAAGCCATTCCATTCTCACACTAGTGTGTGGGTCCAGACTGTCACATTACCCCTTCGACAGATGGGGACGGGCTCAGAAGTGTAAGGTGCGGCCTGTGGCCCCCAGCTGGGACTTGAACCCAGGCCACATGCAGAACGAGGAGGAGCGGAGTCCCGTGGTGTCAGCATCTCCCCGGGACTTGGGTGGGCTCACGGGGCACCTCCCTCTAGGCTTCCATCTGAACAACCARCTGACCCAGGCCCTCACCAGCCGCTACCGGGACAGCCGTTTGCGTGTGGACTTTGAGCGCTTCGTGTCCTGTGCTGCCCAGCTCACCTGCATCTTCCGTGAGTGCCACCCCATGCCCCTTGCTTGGGGCACAAGGAGAATGCCTCCCGTGGCTGGGGGACTGGGATGGGGGCACTSACCCTGCCCTTCTCTGCACAGGTCACTGCAGCCAGCACCTGGATGGGGGCGAGGGGGTCGTTTGTCTGACCCGCAGACAGGTGGGCCTGGGCTCAGGCACAGGGTGGCTCTGGTGCCCACCCAGGACCCTGCCTCCAGCCTGCCTCTTGTTTCTCTTGCCCAGTGGATGGAAGTGGCCACCTTCTCCTAGGATGTTAGGTCAGGAGCACCGGCTGCTGGAGGCAGGGAGACGCAAGGCCACCTCTGCTCCGAGCCCTCCACCCCCCTGCCTGGAGACACCCGCCCTCACTGGGTGGCACCTGAGCATGGCTGAGGCCTGGCCACCAGCGGCTGGCCCAGCGCCCCTCTGTGCACCCCGGTCTCCTTGCCTGCACACAGAGCCGGGTCTGCAAGGCCGCTCCTGGGCAGCCTGTGTGGACTGGGCCTGGCTCCGTGCTGGGAACGGAGGGGCCCGTGACACCCTCTTATCTAACTCCCGGATGGGATGGATGGGGACCATGGGCTCCTGTGCTTTCCTGAGAGAGAACAGAGACAGCAGAGGGAAGGAGGACACGGGAGGAATCCTTAAAAATATTACATGTTTTATTATCCTGTCCCCAAAAGGGTGGTTTATCCAGAAACCAAGAAAAAAAATCAATCAGAATAAACTCAAAAGGGGGTGGGGGGACCATCAACTACCAGGCAGCCAGTCCAGCAGCCCACCTCCACCTCAGGAGGCCCCCAGAGACCCCTGCCCAACCCAAACGAGGAGAAAAATCAGTGAGGGACCGGGGAGGGCAGCAAATCAGCTATGTCTTCATTACGAGAGCGAGAGGCGGCAAAGATATGTTGCTAGGTGAATATATATTTATATAATAAATCCGTAAGTTAATAAAGTAAATAGTAATTCTCTGAAAGTTTTTAATTTTTTAGGTTTTTTTAAAATTTATTTTTAATTTTTTTTTGTTTTTTGGTGGATTTTTAAATTTTTATTGTTCTGTTTTTGTGGGKTTTTTTGTTTTGTTTTGGTCCTTAGAAAATCTGAGACCAGACCAAACAAGGCCAAGGCCGGCTGGGCTGGTGCTGGGGTGAGGGCCGGCTGCCAGACCAGGCCCCTGGGACCACAGATGGCGGGGGCGGGGAGCAGGGGGGCTGTGGTCCACTGGGCAGCTGTGGTGCCCCCTGCTGGACCCTTTGCAGGGCAGGGCGGTTCCTGGACAAGGCACATGGGGCTTTGGCCTGGATGTGGGAGGCCTTGGAAGGACCTCAGGGGCAAAGGAAGGGACCTGGATGTGGAGGGGTGTCCCCMGGGCACAGAGGGGACCTGTGTTGCTGTGGGGATCCATTGTCCCCTCCACATAGGTTAAAAAAAACCAACGCATCATATATATTTACCTGACCAGAGGTGCTGACCCCAAAAGTCTCCCTTCCCCCACCTGATGGGGGGACCTCCTGGCCAACCAACGAGAGAGGACAGAGCCCGCCCAGCCCCTCCCTGCCCACCCCACCCAAGGACCGGCAGAGAGTGCTTTGCATAGATACAGAGTCAGGGGAGGGGGGGCTCCCGGCCCCTCCGGGAGGCCGTGAAGCGGGCATCGGGGTTCCCAGGCAGGGCTTCACAGGTCACTCTCCCCGTAGAGGGCCGTGGAGAAGGACTTGTAGTCGAGGGCCCCGGGCACGGCGTCGGGGCCCTGGTAGGGCGCCATCCGGGCGATGCAGTACTCGGCCTGGTCGGGGGGCAGCTCCCTCCGTAGCTCCTCGGCCGTGATGAAGTTCTGGGGGTGGCAGGAAGGACTCTGAGCCACCCTGTGCCCCAGTGCCAGCTTTGATCCCTACTGCAGGGAACCCTCCTGCCAGCCCCAGGTCCCTCCAGCATCTCGCTCACCTTGTCCCCGGCCAGGACCTTGAAGGAGGCGATGACCTGGTCAGCGGTATCTGTGTCAGTGGTCTCCCTTGACATGAAGTCAATGAAGGCTTGGAAGGTCACAAGGCCGCTGTGGTTGGGGTCGACCACGCTCATGATGCGGTTGAACTCAGCGTCGCCCTGCGAGGTGACGGGGCAGGTGACAGATGGCACTTAGTGGGGAAGGGGCACCGGGCTGGGACTGGTGGCGTGGGTCTGAGGAGCAGGGCAGGAGAGCAGGGCTGGAGTCCAGCCTGCCTTAATGGCGTGGGCCAGGCAGAGCTTGCACCTGGCGGCCCAGGCCCAGGCCTCGGTGGCCCCTCTGCCCACCCCAYGGCCTCAGGATGCGGGGAGTCAGGGTCTACTGCCCCCCGCCCCAGGCTCACGAGGTAGCTCTGGAGGAGGGGAAGAAAGAAAAGAGAGAAAGAGAAARGAAAAGGGAGAGAGCGGGAGGGCTGCCCTCCGTCTCTGGAGACTTCTGGGGAGGAGGGGCTGGGGAGTCATCGGAGGGACCCCAGCCCAGCAAGCGCAGCAGTGCAGGACRGCTGTGCCTCCTGGCGGAGGAGTGTCCCCGAGGACATGGAAGCTCTGCAGGCGTGAGGGGGCGGGAGGAGGAGGAGCGGTGGCAGGGGAGGCAGAGGCTGCATACCAGGCTGTATCCTGTGGAGATAAGCAGAGCCCTGAAGTCATCGGAGTCCATGCTGCCTGTCTGCTTCTGCTCCCAGGACGCAGGCATAGCAGAGGAGGCCAGGCCCAGAGGAGGCAAGAAGGGCCGCCCCATGTGCACAGCGGGCAGACAGGACAGTGGCGGGAGCGGGGAGACAGGAGGCCAGAGAGACCAGGTAAGGGGGAAAGTGTCGGAGAGACACGAGGGCAGGGAGGTGGCAAGAGAGCCGTGAGATGGCACACACGATGGCAGGAGAGGCGGAGGGGAGGGGAGGAGAGAGAAGGAGAGAGAGAGCAGTTAATCGCCGTCCTCGGGGCCCAGGGTGCGCGTACCTGCCGGTCGTTCTCCACGTCGTAGCCCAGGCTGATGAGGCAGGCCTTGAACTCCTCGGGCCCCAGCGCCCCGCCATGGTCCTGCCGGGGCCATCCAAGGTGGGAGTGCGGGAGGGGTGGTGTGGAGACCAGGCCGCAGAGGTGGGAGGGGACCCAGCCACATGCAGAGGGCGGGGGGACACACGGGGAAGGGAAACAGAGTTAGAGGCAACACAGATGAGGGTATGGCCAGGGACAGCTGGGGCAGGAGCCAGCTGGGGCCTCGGCCCAGGGGGCCTGAGGCAACCAGGGACCTTCCTGGCCTCCTCTGGGCAGTGGTGACAATGAGAACCCAGTCCTGGGTGCAGGAGGGGGCGGGGGCTCTTCTTGCCTTTGTGATTTGGGCTAAAAGAGARGGCCACCAGGGCCAGAGGGGCAGCGCTAAGGCTGGACTCTACACACAGACGCCAGGTGGTGGCACGTCAGCCAGCAGGGCTGGGTGCTTAGGGCCTCTAAAGGACACCGTGTGTGGGGGCCAGATTCCCAGGCTGGGTCTTAAATCCTGGGAATGCAGGGACTTCGTGTGCTGCAGGGTTTCAGCCACAGGCAGCAAGGATGTGCCCCCCCAGTCCAGGAGCGCCCCCCCCCCCCCCCCGTCACTGGCTGAGATCCCGCCAGGCCTGAGTGACGGCTGATGCTTAGAGATGTGAAGGTACAGACAGATGCAGAGATGGAGGGGCCAGAAGGGATGGTGACAGGGAGGGAGGGACCGCGGCAGGGGGATGTCCACCTTGTCGAAGTGGTTGAAGGACGCCCGGAATTCTTGCATCTGCTCCTGGCTGATGCCCTTGGCATCCCGGGTGAGGATCTGGTTCTCCACCTCGTTGATAGTGCGGGCGATGGTGGTGAGCAGCTGCTCCCAGCCCACGCGCACGTGCTGGGGAGGGGCAGGGCAGGGCGTRAGCGCAGGTGTGGTGGCTGGTCGGGGTCTCCCCTGGGGCCTCTTGGGGCCTCTCCAGTCCCATACCCTCCTGCGTGTGGGGCGTGGGGCYTCCCTGCCGCCTCTGCCAACCACTGGTTTCATTCACTCCGGGGATGAACACGGCAGGGGGCAAGGACCCGACACCCTGTGCCAAGATCCACATGGCAGCTCTTTAGAGGCAGGCTGGCCAGTGCTCAACCTCGGCTCTGGGGATGGGAAACAGTGGTTTGTGGCATTTGTGGACCAGCACGATGAGACGATGTCACCAGGGTTGATTTCAAGCCACCAAGTGGACCAGCTTCAAAACTCTCCTCATGCTGGTACACTGCCCTTGCACATCGTCAGGGTCTGGGGGAGGCTTCCAGGTCCCTGGGTGAGTCTAACCCAAGATAGGTGTTGCCATGGTGATGGGGGAGTACAGGTAGGACTTTTTTTTTTTTGGTACTGGGAATTGAACTCAGGGGCACTTGACCACTGAGCCACGTCCCCAGCCCTATTTTGTATTTTATTTAGAGACAGGGTCTCACTGAGTTGCTTAGAGCCTTGCTGGTGCTGAGGCTGGCTTTGAACTGATAATCCTCCTGCCTCAGCCTCCCGAGCTGCTGGGATTATGGGTGTGCACCACCACGCTGGGCTGAACTAATCTTTAACAAATTTTAAATAGCAAAAAAACATTTCCACCAGAGAGCCTGGTGAGCAGCGGAGCCCGGCTGGGCCTGCGCACCTCCATGGTGTAGTTGGTGTGCTTGTTGTCGAAGATGAGGGCCTCCTGGATGAGCTGGTGCTGCTGCTCCAGCAGGTCCAGGTTGGGCTTGTAGTCCACGATGCTGCGCTCGTACTGCTTCAGGTGGCTCAGCTGGTCCTCCAGGGTCCCGTTCATCTCAATGGAGATGCGTCCGATCTCCTGCAGGAAGGCAGCGCCGCCAGGGATGAGACCACTCCGGCCAACCCCAGGGGGCTCTCCAGCCTGGAGTCCTGGGCCACAGGACTGCTGACCTAAAGGCCAGCTGCTCTGGGTTACCCGCTCTGGTCCTCCTCTCAAGTAAAAGCAGCCACCATGGGGAGTCYGTGGGCCATGTGCATCACACCCCTAAGCTCACTGGACCCTGGTCCCTCTGTGAGGCCTGCACCTAAAACAGGCCTGACCACAGACGTGGGAACATGGAAGCTCAAGGGGGCTGGTTATTGCAGTAAGAGGCAGCCAGTATTTGAGCCTGGGCCTGTGGCTCCTGACCGTGGACCCTCAGGTCCAAGGCTCTACAGGCTGCAGAGACAGCGCTGAGCCCCAAGGCTGGCCCTCCTAGGCCCCCTCCCCAGGCTTGCTGAGTTTAAAGAGGCTGCTCACTGTCGGCCTGGTCCACTGGGAGGTGGCTGGAGTTGCTATCAGCAGTGCCACAAACCCTGTGGCTCAAGAGGGTCCCTGGGGAGCCGCTGTGAGCGCTGACTGTCTTGTTCACTGCTCTGTGGTATCTCTCCCGTGGGGCCAGCACAGAGCAGCGGCCAAATGCATTTGCTGGGGGGGAATGGAGAGCTTCCACCCSACTCTGGAGACAGAACTAAGGCGCAGAGGTGCGGCTGGCGCGAGGCACAGCGTGAGAGGCACAGCGCGCAGGGAGGGGCTGCTCTAGCCTCACCTGCCCGAGCCTCAGCCAGGTTTCTGTCTAGTGCTGCCACTTTTGCCCACATAACTTGGTGGCCCTCCTAGTCCTGGAGGGTGATCAGGGGTCCTAACAAGCCCAGGGGCCACAGGGACCCTCTGACCAAGAAGCTCGCCCAGGTGCGTGCTCCACTCCGCCCATGCCCAGGGCAAGGGGGGCGCCCTCACCTCCATCTTGGTCTGGATCCAGGGCCCCACCACGTTGGCCTGGCTCGAGAACTGGCGGCGGAGGTGCTCGTTAGACTGCTGCTTGCTCTGCTCTTCCAGAAGTGCGCGGTCCCTCTTTGGCACCAGCTGTTGCACCTGGGGACACGAGGCAGGAGTGGTCAGGGCTGTGGGCTCTCCTGCCCGGCCGGCCCCACCAGCCTTTCCCTCGAGAGGCTCTGGCCCACCTTCTCCCACTTGGAGTTGATGATCTGGGGGGTGACGGTGGTGTAGGGGTTGCTGCCAGACAGCTTGATGTGGTTGCTCTCAGCGATCCTCTGGGCCTCCTTGTGGATGGCCAGGATGGCCTCCCGCTCCCTGTCGGCGTCGGGGAGGGTGGACTTGAACTGGTCGTGGGCTGAGATCAGGCCCTAAGGGAAGGAGTAGGAATGAGGGGGGCAGCCTGGACCTCCTGGGCCCCCAGAAGGGAGCAGGGTCCCGGGGCCGGGCAGACCTCGATCTCCTCGATGGTGTGAACGATGAACATGTCCTGCAGGTCCTCCATGGCGCTCTCCATCCAGTTGTTGAAGGGCGCGGCCCGCTTGGCGTACTCCAGGTGCAGCTGGTCAATGGTCTCCAGCTGCTTCTCTGTTTTCTGTGATGGGCGGACAGGGACAGGGACAGAGGCAGGAGGGCAGGTCAGYGGGTGAGTAGAGGAAGGAAGAGTCCAAGGGGCACTAAGGAGGGTCAGGAGAAGMCCCTGGACTTGGGCATCATTCTCACTACCCACCATCCTCAAGGACAGTCAGGGCCCAGGGCYCCACCAGTGACCCAGCCCCTCCTCACCTCCAGGGCTTCCCTGCGGCTGTGGGTCAGAGAGCCTAGGGCGTCCCACTGGTCACAAATCTTCTGACACCGAGTGTTGACATTGTGGGAATCATAGTAATCCAGCTCGCTGTGGGCCAGGCAGATGGCAGTGAGACCCCAGGCAAGGGGTGTAGCTACACCCTGCCCCAGGGGTCCCAGGGCCAACACTGGAGGGCAGTACTAATCAGCTGCCCAGGGCAGGAGGAGTGGGGGGGGCGGGAGTAGTGGCTTCTAAACAACCAGGCGGGGGGCTGCAGTGCAGCCCTAACAGGCCTGGGATTTTGGCTGTTCCTTGATTTAAAGAACACCCGGCAGAGTGCAGAGGCTCAAACGACGGGCTCTGGAATGTGGTCGATGATGACTGACCCCTGGTGATCCTGGCTGAGTGTACCCCCTACTCCAGATGCCTCCGTTTTCTTATCTGTGACGTGGGATGAGACTATGGGGGTGTCCAGTCAGTTCATGCACATGAAGTGCTCAGAGGAGCCTCTACACCTCGTAAATACAAGAAGCAACAGCTACTCATGAACGATTTAATTCATTTCAACGGGCAGTAAGAAAAAAAGATGTAACTAGCATGCAATCTCATGCTAAGTAACCAATTTGATATTTAAGAAAAWAAGTAAGTTGCCTTAACAGGCAAATAGAATTATCTGAGGTTCGGCTTGCACAGTTCAGTTATCTGTGACTTGAAAACATCAATGTCTTGACTGTTTCAAGAGAGAATGACCACATCCCTGTGAACTTTACTCCAGTATATTGTCACAATTGTACTACTTTGTTGTTGATAATCTCCTAATGTGCCTACTGTAAAAATTAAATTTCACAATAGGTACCTATGCACAGAAAATATAGCAGACCTAAGGCTTGGTGTTTTCACGGCTTCGGGCATCCATTGTGCCCCCTTGGTACGTTCTTGGGCTGTACCCGAGTGAGGGGGCTGCTGCTGCTTGGGAACTATTATTTGGATGACTGTGGCATGGACAGCACTCAAAAGGCCCTCCCTCTCTCTTCCAGAACAGTTTAGAAAGCCCCCAGGCCCCAGGTCAGGGCAATAGGTCTCATGCAGCTGGCCCAGTCAGCTGGGGGCACCTGCCCATGTCCCCATAGACCCTACAGCCCCTGAGGGTACCTGCCTCTGGCCTTGCTGTCCTTCGTATGGACATGCAGGACCCTGGGGGTACCTGTGGAAGCCCTACAGCATTGTCTGGGGCAGATGGGAAGCCCTAGAGCACCCCACAGCAAGGACGGGGGAGCAGGAGGGAAACCAGGGTGCCCAGTGCGGTCCCCGTCTTCAGGAATAGCAGGACTCTGGGGACAACTGCGGCAGGGCAGGGGTGGCTGTGGAAGAGGCAGCTCCAGCCAAGAAGCCTATTTTTGAGCAGACGGCTATTTTGGGAGCCCTGCAGCCCCGTTAGGGCCTGTGGATTTTCCATGAAGTAATGGCCTGGGCCTCCCACTCGCCGGGCCCTCCCTGCCGCAGCCGCTGCACTGGTGGAATAAGGCCCCATTCACGGGCTCCAGGGGCTCAGTGTACTAATTGTGCACACAAGTTTATCTGCAGGGTGGGGAAGGGAGGGGCRAGACCCGGCTGCCTGGAAGCCTTCACAATAAGTGTATTCTGAGCAGGAGGGAAGAGGCCGGGCGGAACAATGGGYCTACTGTGCAGCCCGGTTCCTCGGGGAGGAGCGGCTGGGAGTGCAACAGACCAGCGGCCCACCCCGCCAGGGGCTGGGGGCCTACATGGTATGGTGGGCAGAGCGGGTGAGGCCCGGGGACCCCTAAAGCCTGAGGACTCAGGACAAGTGGTCAGCAACCTCTTCTCTGCTGGAGGACCTAGACGTCCTTGTTCCTCATTCAGGGCTGAGGAGGAGGGGCCAAAGGCTTTACCCAGAGGGCCCTTCGCGGTATCTAGGAGGTGAAGGCTCAAGGGCCCCATTCCAGGCCACGGTCGGCTGGACCCGGGATGCTTCCACCACCCCCCAGGGCAGGGCGCAGAGGGCCCACACATACTTGAGTTCCTGGGCAATCGCTGCAATCTGTTCCACGCGGTCCTGGTGTGCGGCCAGGTCACTCTCGAAGGCCTCGTGCTTGCGGATGAGGGCTTTGATGTCTGACAGGGTGGCTGTCTCATAGTCCCGGTGTTTCAGCATGGCCTCCTTCCCTGGGGGTGGGTGCACAGAGGCACTTGGACAGCAGCCCAGCAGCCATGGGGCTGTCTAACTAGGAGGGGAAAGGGGATGTGGACTCCACATCCTTCCTTGCTGAGGGAGGTACTATGAGTCTAGAAACTTCCAGAATCTTCTTCCTTGCCCTCCAGGGATCTCTAGGCCCAAGTCAGCGATCCCGACTCAACCCATGTGTTCTGAACTCAACCCCCTTTACTGGGAGGGGACCATAGAATTGAACCACAGCAGCAGGGCCACGAAGCTAGACCCCGTTTCTGGTGGGACAGGACCTGGAGAAACACCTGGGCCCAAGGCCCACTCCCCAGGCAGGGCCAGGGAAGGGGCAGCTTCAGGGTCTGGGTTCTCCTGGGAGCCTGGCCCAGAGCCTGCACCACAGCCTTTTGGAGCCAGGCTCCTCGGGTGGTGAACCCACCACACATCTCAGCCCCTTCCCACAGTCCTCTGGCTGTTTATGTGCAGTGGGGCGGGGTCGCTGTGAGGCCCTTTGAAGGGAGGAACACTGTTATTAGTCCTGGAGCCTGACTAATGACATACCCCGCATAAAAGCTCAAGCCAACCCTGCAAGCCAGCGAGGTGACTGCAAGGCACAGAGAGGAGTGCGCCAGCCTGTGGGAGGGGAGTGAGGACCCTGCTCCTAAGGGGCCCTGCTTTAGCTGAGCTCCTTTGCTAGGAGTGGCAGCTCAGAGAGCCCCTTCTGGCTCTGCCCAGAGCACTAACAAACAGCTGCCACCCCGTGTGGTGACTAAGTCTCTGGGTCCCATCCTTCATCTGTAAAATGGGGCCAACAGCAGCAGCTACATGGCATCGGGCTAGTCCAGGCTTCAGCGAGGTGACGTGAGAGTGGCGGGTGCGGAGCCAATGCTATGCTCATCTCAGCCACCCACAGCCTCATCTGTACGGCAACTACCAGCCACCCCTCGGCAGGGCCTGGCACGCAGGCAAGCGGTGGGCTGCCCGGGAGACGCCGCTCCCTGGCCAGCAGGCCGCCCCACCCCCTCGGGAGGCCTGACCGCAGAGGCTAGCAGGCAGTTCCCCTCTCCAGACCGCCTTCTCCTGGGGTGGGAACCAGAAATAGCAGGTTAGCATTGGGCCTCAGCCACGCTTCAGCAGGCAGCTAGAGGGGCCGCCTGAGGAACCAGGGGGCGGGCCCAGCCACACCGTACCAGATCAGGCCAAGTGGCAGCCAGAGGAGGGACATGGGGGTTCACTGGTGTTTGGTTTCATTTCCAGGAAATCCAGGTCCCAGTGAGGAGCACCTGATGGACCCTCAGCCCTGTAGCACTGAGCAGTGATGCTCAAACCAGCCCGAGACCCCTAACTGGACCGAGGAGGCGTCCTGACTGCTGCAGGGGCGCAGGGGACTGTGGGGCCAGCCCCTCCTCTGGTTCAGAGGACAAGCTCTGGTCTCGGGCATGAGAGCTGGCAGGTCTGCCGGGGACTCTGGGCTGATGCAGGGCAGGGCTTGATGCCGAACGCCTGTGGCGGAGGGGATGCCTAGCCAGGCAGGGGTATGTGGAGGCTCCTGGACCAGCAGGGCCCAGGCCCAGGACTAAGCTAACTCCTAAACTCCTTAGGTGAAGGCCAGACCCAGTCATTACCAGGGACAGGGCTCTGGTGGGCCATCGCACCCACGCCCCTCYGGAAACCACTGCCCAGGGTTTCCTGGAGCCTTGGAGAGGGCACTGAAAGACGTGCCCAGAGAGGAAACCCATAGACACGACACCCCAGCAGCCCTGGAGGAGGAGCACGTGGAGCAAGACAGCAGGGGACGGCTCAGCCTGAGCGCGGGACGTGGGTGCTGTAACCTCTCCTTGCTGTGGCCAGGGGTTCTAGGACAAGGGAAACGCAAACCTTCGCTGGCCCGAGCATTCCCCAGGCAGGAAAGCTGCTGCGTACAGGCCTGTCTGGGAGAGTGGCTGAAGACATGTTTATTAAACAAACATACAGACTGAACGCCAGCCTCCTTCCCCAGGAGACGGTAGCAGCCATCACGCCCTCCTCCTAGGTACCACTTTATGAGGCACAGGAGAGGGGCCTGCACCCCCCGTCCCTGCCTGGCCAGCTTCCTGGCCTTGCCATGTGTCCCTGGTAGAGAGGACCAGGGGATCGCTGTGGATCTGGCACTGCTGTTGGAGAAGAGCAGGCTGAGCTCATGTGAAGGGCACRAGCTGGCCACAGCCAGGGACAGGTGAGGTGGGCACAGGCCTGTGGGACATGTGGAGCTGCCACGGAACCTCTTGGGACAGGGGTGGGGTGGCCTGCCCACACAGCAGGGTGGACAGTGGCTAGCAGAGGTCCCAGARGCTGGACGGAGATTCCGTGAGGAGTGAGGGGCAGAAGAGCCCAGACCACACCAGGCGAGAAGGGGGATCAGCTGGGCCATGGTGGCAGGAGGGGCAGGAGGGCCAGCAGGGCCAGCAGGGCCAGGAGGCAGTATGGGCCAMGAGCAGGAGCCAGGAGCCTGTGGAGGGCTTTTTTGTTTGTCCCCCACATTCCCACCACACCAGAGCTGGGCTGAACCCAGGGCCTCCGTGAACCCCGCCCCTGGCCTGTGCTGGCTTTTCTTTTCTGGCTTTCCCAGGACTGGTAGTTTTCTGGCCCCTAGAATCTGGAATCTCAACCATGGTGTGGGTCCCGACCGAGGGCCAGGGACGTGATGGAATTCTACATCCCGAGCCAAGGCACAGGCAGCTCCGGGGCCGCCGGGAAACAGGAGGCGACACGAATTCTCTCCAAGGGGACCCGTCTTGCAGGGGTCCAGGTCCCTGGCAGGAGGCCCTGAGGCAGGGCAAGGAGGGGCTCCTGCACGTGGCTGGCAGCCAGCGAGCGCCACCGCAGGTCCCACAGCAGAGCCAGAGGCAGCTGGGAACACGCGAGCTCTTCAGCATGCGGCACCAGCAGTGTGAGACGGGGGCAGACTGTCCCAACACGGTGCCAGGGACAGGACAGCCCTGCCCATATGCCTGACCTGGATGGGGATGGGAACTGCCTCAGAGAAGCCACAGCACAGTCACTTGCCTAAAGAGCAGGAAAGGGCTTGGCTGCATTCCTGGATGACTGACTCTTCATGACCCAGGAAGAGGCCTGTAATAATCTCTGAGGCCAGCGCAGGTTGGGCAAGAAGGAAGACATGGCCCAGGTGCGCCCTGCTGCCTGGGGCTGGACGAGTCCCAAAGCAGCTTTACACAAGACAGGAAAGGGGCTGGACACAAAGACCCTGCACAGCAGGGGCCCCAGGTGTGCGTGCGTGTGTGCACATCTGAGCAGGAACGGGGAAGAGGGCCGTACCGTCAGTCCAGGCCTCGTGGATGGAGGCCTTTTGCCGGAACTTCTCYGCCAGGTGGTCGAGCCGCTCTAGCCTGCGGATCTCATTCAGCAGCCACTCCTCATAGCCCTTCTCCGCCTGCTCCAGGTGCTGCCAGCCATTGTTGATGTCCTGTGGGGGCAGGAGAGGGCAGGGCTGTCATAGGAGGCTGCGGAAGGTCAGYGGCGGGGCCACAGTCCTGCTCGACCACCCCTTGCCGTGTCCAGGTGCCAAGAGCCCAGCACACTCGGTCCCTGGGTTCCTCTGCATTAACTGAATGAGTCTGTGAACTGGAGARCGAGTGAATGGATGGACGGACAGAGGGATGCTGTGGGTGAGGTTATGGAGCCAGAGGTGACCCTCGATCCTAGGGTCACAGCARCCTAGGGGTCCAAATTCAAACTTCCACACAAACTACTCAAGTGTGACATCCAGGGAGCAATGGGGTGTGGGGCAGTGTGAAGTGACCCTCAGCCAGCCTGCCCCAGAGGCCATGTGTTCTGGTTGAGGGAGACGTGCTAGCCGAGCAGCAGGCCATGCCCAAGGGCTGTTCTGAGCTGCCGCTGCCCCTCCCAGCTGCTCTTCAGTCCCGCGGGCATGGCCCCCTGGGGCGGGCGCTCACCGAGACCATCCTGCCCTCGGAGGGCATGAAGGCTGGCCGGTTGCTGAGGCGCAGCTTGGTCTGCAGCGTGTTGAAGTTGATCTCCAGCTGGCACTTCTCCTGCACCTTGGGCGGCTTGTGCACGCGCCGGTAGTCGCGGAAATCCTCCAGCTTCTGCTGCATCTCCTGGATGGTCTTCTGGGGCACGCGGTCCTCTAGCCAGGGAATGGTGCGCCGGATCCACTCCAGGAGCTGCAGGCCCACAAGCAGCTGTGGTGACCCTTGCAGGGGGCAGAGTGCCCACGGCCTGCCCCCAGCTATGGAGCGTGGGACCTGGACCACTGTGGGCCTGCCCCCAGGGCTTCTCCTCCTCCCCAGCCTGGCTCTCCCATGAGTCCTGTAGGGACCCCACAGCACAGGATTCTGGGAACAAGGCCTCCCAGGAACCCCCGTGCGGTTCTTGGCTGTACCTCTTGCCTCTTTGCCAGGTCCACACGGGCAGCTCAACAAACACCCCTCCTCAGAAGCCCCCTCCTTGCTGTCAGGTGACCCACTAGCCCTGGCTTCCCTGAGCTTATCTAAGAGCTTCTCTGCCTGGTTCAGGGATGGTAAATGTCACAAGGGCAGGGGTCYGCGAGGGAGCATGGCCTGGGACCCAAAAAACATCAGAAACTTGAAAAAGAAAGTCACGTGTATTCCTAGCAGCTACTCTGATCTTTCTAGGACAATTCTAGGAAGGGAAAGCCAGCCACTGTCTATTGGAGAGCACTTGGGGAAGTGGCTCCAAACGCCAACCCCAGCCAAGTGAGGGGGCCGAGGACAGAAGCGTCTGCCTGAGAGTGCACCTTGACGCTCGGGCAGAGTCCCTCGCAGGCAATGGCGGGGGACCCGGGAGCTCCGCTCTTTGCCCTGCCTGGTGTTGGGAAGGACGGCTGCAGCACTGGGGATGGGGCACAGGCTCGTGTGTGGCAGGCAAGAGCTCGAGCACCGGGCCTCACCCCAGTTTGGCTTTTGTAAAATGTGTAGGCAAAATAAAAAGTTGGCCGCCCTAGATTGTTGTCAGATACTTGTCGAAATCTTCTGGTCTGTGAAATCTCAAAGGCTGGAAACCACTGGCCTCCGAAGAACAGTCACGTGACTGCTGAGCATCTCTGCAGGAAAAGCTGGCTGCGACAGGGACCAGGCTCTGACCCTGTACCACCAGGCCAAAGGGCCGTGCCCCGACCCGGCRACCGCACGCCCTGTGCCCTCCTGCGCTCTGCTAGTCCTGCGGCCACACCTGCCATCTCCCTACTAGGGCTGCGGGGACCTCTGGCCAAGAGCAACAAGAGCTGTCAGCAAAGCTGCGGGGCCAGCAGGGCAGGGACATAAGCACTCACGTCGCTGGCCAGCCGCTCGTAGTCCTCCATCAGGTGCTCGTTCTCCTGGTTGACGGCGAGCACCTTGCAGATGCGGTTGGCCGCGGTCTCGGCCTGGGACGGGAGAAGTGCAGAGTCAGGACTGCCTCAGGCTTGGGGACCCTCCCGCCAACAGCGTGTCCCTTGAAAGCAGCTTGTCCATGGCCCTCAGAGAACTTCCCGAGGGGGAAGGAAAGAAAGTGCAACTGCAKCAGGACGACTGGGCCCTGCGTGCTCCTACAGGAGCCTCTTGTCCTGAGAAYAAGCCCTCGCAAGAGTCCCCACGAAGAGGGGCGCTGGGGCTGCAGTGGGCCCAAGTCCTGGAGGAGCCTCGGGTGGACAACAGCTGGAGGGAGCCACAGGGGGCTCTGGCCCCAGGAGCAGCCAGCGTGTGGGTACAACACGCCCGGTCCCCTCTCCTCCCCTCGGGCGGGTGTTACCACCTCGCAGGGGCAGAAATCAGCTGTGGGCAGAAGGGGTCGTGGCTCTGGAGAACACAGCGTGGGCAGCAGGGAGCAGGCCCTGCCTTCTCTGTGGGGGGAGCGCAGGTGTGAGCAGGAGGGAGGTGCCACACCAGGGAGAGGCCAGGTACCTTTCAGGAAGCACAGAAAGGGTCCAAGAGGAGTTGAAACGGCAACAGAACAGGAACAGAAATAGTGAGGAGGGTCTACAGAGCGACGGGAGGAAAACAGAGAGGCTCGGGAGACGGCTCCAGGCACTCGGCCTGGCCTCTCCCATCCACACCGCAGGGCAGGCAGGGAGGGCGCAGCCAGCCAGGCCAGCGTGAGCGCGTGCACACACAAGGGCACACACCCTGCACCCTGCCGCAGGACACGCCAGGGACCTCAGGCAGTGCCCCTCAGAAGTGAGCTCTCGGGACCTCAGCTGGTGACACCAGCCCCAGTGCGCAGGAAGCACAGCCAGGGCAGCAGCCGGCGGGGGGGGGGGGGGGGTCGCGGGGTCAGTTTCTGACCCCTAATGGGCAGTGACATCTGGCACCCCAAGCTTAAATCCACTCTCCACCAGGATGCTGCTGGTCACAGGGATGTGGGGTCACTGGATTCCTGGCAGCCAGCCCGGGGGTCGTGTGCTCAGGGCTGGTGAGTGAACTGAGTAAAGGAAGAAAGAGGCCGTGTTTACGGATGACCAGGAAAGAGGGCCACTCAAGGCCAGGCTGCGGTGACCTTGCAGTTATGAAACAAAAATCCCAGAAAGCACCCTTAAGAGAGAGATGGGACCAATCTCTGGGACCACAGCAATAACAGGCACCACGAGGCGTCCTGAGAGGTGAATTCACAGCCGGAGGCCGGCGCCCCCTGAGTCTAGCACTCTCCTTCCAGGACAGGCCCGTGTCTCCTCCACAGGAGGGGCTGCAGCAAGCTTCTAGGCCCAGCTGCCCAGAAACCTCCCAACACTCTGACCCGCCTTTCTGTCAGCCCCTGCTCCCACAATCCCTCGGAACCCTCGACCACCACCAGAGTTCAGCTCCGAGCACAGGGGCGTCCGAGGAAGAGGAACAGCCACCTGGTGAGGGCGGCGTGGTGGGCAGGGAGGACCACCGTGGGCAGGTCTGCAGTGAGGACCCTCCTCCCAGGGGAGGATGCGTCCTCCCTAGGTGTCCCTGGCCTGTGCCCTCCAGCAGAACATGGCAGACATCAGCCCCAGTCTSAGGCCAGTAGAAGGGAAAGGGGCTCCACCTGGTCATGTGGCCAGGGGGACAGAAAACACCACCCGTGCCCACCTGGCAGGGCAGGGGCAACCCCACTGGCCACTGGAGTCCTTGGCCACTCACAGAACACTGGCTATACCTGCAGGGCCTTGTTTACCCCAGAACAATCCTGTAAGAGGGGCTACCGCGAGCCCCATTTCATAGATGGGGAAACGGAGGGACGTGCCTTATCCAAGGCCACAATGACACAAGGTGGTCTACAGAAGGCAGCAGGAGCCGTGGTCCTGGGACTTTAGAGTCCCACTTCTTCTTTAAACAAGGACTGATTCCTCGTCCTCTGCACCAAAGGCGGACACAAAGTTAGCGGAACACACCGCTGCCCGCGATGCTTCAGAGACCAGGGAGGGCACAGAGGCACCAAACGAGAGCCCCCGAGGGGCCAGGGGTGGCATACGGTCAGCAGGCTCAGGGAAAGGTGCCTGTGGGCACCTCTGCCAGCTCTACCCAAGCTGGCTCGGCTTCTGGAGGGCGGCTGGGAGAGCAGGGAGCTCCAGAGAAGGCCAGCCTGCACAGCTGAGCCCGGTGGGGCCAGGGGCCAGCAGGCGGGAGGCCCTGAGAAGGATGCTGCGTGGTCCCATCCCAGCTCTGCCACCTACTGTGGCACGGGCTTCTCCTTGTCTGAGCAGGACGTTCCGCCTACTCACTAGGTGGGCTGCAAACAGAGCACCTCTGGGGACCCTGTGGAAGTCCCACACAAACGGCGGGAGGCACTGGGGACACCAAGTCACGGGACATCTGTCCTGGGTGGCCCTTCTGGTGCCCTGCTTAGCCAGGGCTCTGACCATATGTGAACAGTGGTGACGTAGGGTGACAGAGGGCAAGTCCGCAGCCACAGCAGCAAGGGTCCTCCCACCCTGGCTCACCTTCTGGGCCCCCGAGAAAGCGTGGTAGAAGCAGGACACGTAAGTCATGATGGCCTTCTCATCTGGCCTCAGAGTGCCCACAATATCTGCGCAGAGAGAGAGGGAGAGAGAGAGAGAGGCAGAGAGAGTGAAAGACGCAGGCAGGGAGCCGGCCGGMCCGAGGCTCATGCGGGAGGAACAGCTTGCTCTGGACTGGAAGCCAGCCCCCCAGGCCCGGGTGGTGCGGCTGCCTGGTGAGCAGAGGGAGAAAGGTCTGGATAAGCTGCTTCCTTTCCAAACCAGGACTCTGTGAAAGCAGCTTTGTCTGGGGCTGGAGGAACCAAGGCAGACTTATTTTCTGAAAATGTAAGCAGGGGCTTACATGTTGGGTGCGACTCCTTACTCCTAGTGTTCTTCTACACCTCCTCGTCCCAGACTACGACGAGCCCCAACACTCTGGCCTCGTATCTCATTCTTCCCCTCACTCTCTTTAGCCTTTCCTTGTAAAAGCTAATCCTTGCCTCAGGGCCTTTGCACCTGCCTCACTCTCTTTCTGGAATGCCTTCAACATAATCTTCAGTCCTTCTCCTCACCCCAAGAGCCTGCTCACATCACCCCTTCCTGTTCACGGCCAGTTAAGTCACCACAGCTATCTCTAGGCCACCATCCTGTCCCAAGTCCTCTACCACACTTCTCGCCACATGAAATAATTTTGTGTGCTAACCTATGGTGGTTACAGCCAGGGCGTCCACGCTCACAGAGCAGGGAACCTGCCTGACTGGCAACAACTCTGTCCTCACTGCCTAGAACACAGCCTGGCACGGCCAGGCACCCGACAGACACTAGAGCAAAGACTGAACAGGCAGCGATGCCCAGGAGTGGGGGGGGGTGGCTTCCAGTCGGAGAGAGGCCACTGCCGTCTGCAAGAGAAATGAGGTGAGCGTGGGAGGCGAAAGGCAGYGGCGGCATTGGGCAGCGGCGGCGAGGAGGGCCTGCCCGGCCCTGCCCGGTACCTTCTGCGCTCCTGAGAAGGCATGGTAGAAGCTGGACACATAGGTCATTATGGCCTTCTCGTCGGGCCGGGCCGTGTTCACGATGTCTGCAAGTGAACGACAGGGGTTAAGCCGCCCGAGCAGGCTCCCGAGGCCACGCTGTCCTGGGAGAGGACCCTCAGAACTGATTGGGGCACCCACGGGTCTGGGTGCACCCTCCGCCCCGACCCCCGGGATCTCAGGAAAGGCCAAGGCTGTGGGAACTGGATCAGAAGGAGGCCACTTCCTCTCTGAGGGTGGCCTCGAGGGGCTGAAGGACAGTCAACTCCAGGGGCCACCAGAGGCCAGAGACATGGGTCCTGGTTGGGGGTGGTGCTGGCTGGAGTGAGGCCGGAAAAGGAAAAAACAAAATTCCACCCTGGCGGCCTGGACAGCAGGCGGGGGTGGGCGGCCGGCTGGGCGCAGGAAGCCGGAGCCAGTGCGCCGTGGCCAACCACCCTGCCCCAGGCCCAGAGAGCCGCCCCCCAGCTCTTCCCTCCCGCCCTTCTCCACCCCACAGAGACCTGGTGGGCTCTCGCTGCCCCTGCTCCAGGACCAGGGTGATGCGCTGTCCAGGTGTCCAGTGCACCAGGACTTATTCAGCCCTCCCCCGACTCCACCGGCTGAGCTCCCTGAGGTTACCCCCAAGGTCAGGTGAGGCTGCGGGCCCTGGCCCAGTGCCAGGCCAGACAGGCGAGGCGGGAAAGAAAGGTGGTCACTGAACCAAAAGGACATACTGACCCTCTGCATCCAGCATCTTGGGGATATCGAGGTATTTCTCAGCCACTTCGAAGGCATTGTTCAGGTTGGTGACTGGATCGTCCTGTGGGGGCAAGGGGGACAGGAAGCAGTCAGGGGTAGGACACATGGGCTGAGGGCACAAGAGCTGACCTGGGAGTGGGGAGACCAAGGGCAGGAGTCCCCAGGTGAGCTGTCCAGGGACAGGAAGGCCAATGCCCGCCATGGGGCAAACCATGGAACTTTAAAAAATATTTTAGTTGTAAATGGATCTTTTATTTACTTATTTCTATGTGGTGCTGAGGATCGAACCCAGTGCCCCTCACTTGCCAGCAAATGCTCTGCCACTGAGCCAAAGCCCAGCCCATCCATGGAACTTTTCCTCCATGAAAACGCAGGTACGTACTTCCCACGGAGTTCCCAGCCACCGGTCAATCTGAGATTAACTTCCTGCCCTGAAACCCCACGGGTGCGGCCCAGGCCTGAGAGCGCACTGGGGCAGGTGTGGGGAGCGCCTGCGGCCCACCTCCTGGAGTGCCCCAGCCCCCCGKCCTCGCAGGCCCCCGTCCTCGCTTCCCCTTGTCGGTTTCTAGCTGGAGTGAGTCACATTCTCACTGTGACCAGAGCAGCTGCTCCTCCTCCAGGGCCCTCTCCAGCCCCTCCAGCTCAGGGGCACCGTCCTTCTGCAGGTGGCCCCCGGCTCGGCTCGCGGGGACAGCCTCCTGTGCTGGGTTTGCTGTGGACATGCTGCCCGCCTTCCCCAGAGCCGGGAGCTCTGAGAGCACGGGGCTGGCTCTCGCCCAGGAGGTGCTGGCCGGCGGTGACGGTTCAGAATCCCCCACTGTCCTCCCGGGGGCAGAGGGGGGTGCTGCCTAAACCAGAATCCAAGGAAGGGGAGTCAGAAGGCCTGAGGGACAGGCCCTAGGAGCCCTGGCTGCTGCAATACCCATGGAGGGAGACGGGACAATCCCTGAGGGACTCAGGGAGCAAGTCAGCCACCAAGCCAGAGACCCGGGGAGCGGGCACGAGTGCTCCCAGCCTGCCCAACGGAGCCAAGATCCAGCCAAGGAAGCGGACAGTGGACGGCCGCCCAGAGTCAGGGCCTCAGACTCAAGTGTGAGAGGCCACTGAGGGCAGCAGGAGACATACCTTTCTCAGCTTGTCGTACTCAATCAGCTCTGGCCGRTGCCGGTGGATCAGAGCGTTGAAGGCAAGACCGTCCTTCCAGCTGCAAATGAAAAGCAAAGGTTATCTCAGTGGCTCAGGAGGCTGAAGCAGGAGGATCGTGAGTTCAAGGCCAGCCTCAGCAATTTAGCAAGGCCCTGAGCAACTTGACAAGACCGTGTCTCTAAATAAAATATAAAAAAGGACTGGGGAGGGCTGGGGCTGCGGCTCAGTGGTAGAGCACCTGCCCAGCATGTGGGAGGCCCTGGGTTTGATTCTCAGCATTGCTTACAAATAAATGAATAAAATAAAGGCCCATCAATATCTTCAAAATTTTTTTTTAAAAAGGCGGGGCTGGGATGTGGCTCAGTAGTTAAGAGCCCCTACATTCAATCCCTGGTATATTAAAAAGAAAAGAAAAGAAAGCAAAGGTCATGAGGAGGGTGCCCTCACTGTGGTGGGAACATGGAATGGCACCAAAGCCGTTCTTAATTTCCAGGGTGGTGGTGAGGAGTAAATGAGTAAGTGCCTACACCAGTGTCTGACGCGTGACAAGGACTGTGTGACTGAGATGGCCTGACCCTCTGAGCACTGTATACCCAAGAGCCCTGAAGGAGACAGGCCCATTTCAGAGGAGCCCAGTGCCTGGGCTGTGTGACCCAGCCCCGTGGCTGACCTGACCCATGGAGGACTGTGGTCAGGGGCCGTGGCACAGGCCGGCAATCCCAGCTACCAGGGAGGATGAGTCAGGATCACAAGTTCAAGGCCAAGCCCAGGCAACACAGCAAGACACTGAATCAAAAATTATACATGCACACAAAAGGCAGGGATGCAGCCCAGTGGCAGCACACTTGCCCAGCACCCACACAGCCCTGCGTTTGAGCCCAGGCCTCCTGTGGCATGCAGGGGGTCTCTCCAGCAAAGAGATCCTCTACAGAGTCACAAGCTGGTCCTAAGATGGACTAGTTAGTTTCCTCTCTGAGATCCTTACTTAAAGAGCTGGTTCTTTCCGGGGTCAGGCTTAATGTCACCTGCTCAGAATGTCACCCCAGTTAGCGTTCTATTGCCTTGCTCAGTTGTAGCATATTTACACAGCACTTCTCACTCTCTGAAATGGCTGCACCGCGCACCTCCGACTGCTGCTCCCCTTGCCTTGGGGTCGACGGCCCACGGCAGGGCCTCATGGAAGCAGCATGTACTCCACAGATATTCACTGACTGAACACATAAACGAGTGAGAAGATCATCATCTGATGGCGAGGAAAGGAAGGAGTCAGAGAGGAGTCATCAAGAGAGGGACCACGGCCAGGCACAGTGATGCACACCTGGAATCCCAGCAACTCGGGAGGCTGAGGCAGGAGGATTACAAATTCAAGGCCAGCCTCAGCAAATTAACAAGGACCTAAGAAGCTTAACAAGACCCTGTCTTAAAATAAAAAATAAAAAGGGCAGGGCGTGGTGGCAGCCTGTAATCCCAGCAGCTTGAGAGGCTGAGGCAGGAGGATTGCGAATTCAAAGCCAGCTTCAGCAACTCAGTGAGACCCTGTCTCTAAGTAAAATACAAAACAGGGCTGAGGATGTGGCTCAGAGGCCGAGTGCCCCTGAGTTCAATCTGCATTACCAAAAGAGAGAGACACACAGACAGGTGGGGGGACCACGGAGCATGTGCTATTAACATGGAGTATGGTGGGAAAGGCCCTCAATATCCAGCACAGGGCTCTGGAGAACATACCAGGACCCCTGTGGAACCTATGTGCCGCCCCAGAGGTTAGAGGGGCGAAGTCACGCACCAAGCAGGACCTGATCTGAGTCTGTGCCCTAACCAGAGGGCCGCCCCACCTCTCGTGTGGCTCTAGCCCTGCCTCCCTCGGTCACGGTGATATGTCTCACCCTCTCCCACCAGAGGGAGCGASATCAAGCTGGGCCTGGTGCTGCTCATTTCCCCACCTCTAGAGAATAACAAAGGATCAGTCCTCAAGACGTTAATACAGGAGGAGCTTGGTTGTTGTTTCTAAGTCACCTTGCTTGGGGCAGAAGAAGGTTCTAGAAGGCTGCAGGAGTGCTGGGCCTGCCTTCAGGTGGCCACTGCTTCCTCCTTGGAGAAGACCAGGCACCTTCCCGTGGGACCACAGGGGCTGGGACAGGGACATACTGAGGGCTGGTGTCTCATAGACCACAACAAAAGCACAGGAAGTGGGGCAGGCGGGAGGAAGCCCTGTGGCTCTGGGTGGCGACGGGGTGCCCAAGTCGTGTGCTCACCTGATGTGGAAGTTCTGCACGTTGACGTTCTTATATGGCGCCGTCTTTCTCTGGCACCAGAGGAGGAGCCCTTCCTTGGCAGAGGTCTCTGCAAAACACAGGGACCATGAGACGGGCTCAAAAATGGACCTCGGAACTTGACCCTCGGAGGACACCTAGCCTCAGGTCCGGGGCAAACACCACCTACGGCGGGAGGATGCCCACCCTTACAGTAGCAGACCCCCGCCCATCCCAGCTGCCAGCCCAGGGCAGTTGACCTCAGACTGGGAGTTCTGTAAGCTTCGGGAACACCCGTGTCCTGGTCACTCTGTGACCTAGCACCCAGGAGTCCCCTCCATAAAGTGGCCTGGCAGCTTTTCCCATCCTGTGGTGCACACGGGTAGCTGGAGGGAAGTGAAGCCCATTTCTGGATGGCCAGGGCAGACACCAGGTCCATGAGGACAAGACCCAAGGGTGGGGGGTTGGGCAGAGAGAGAACCAGACCAGGCCCAACTTGGCACTTAGTCTGTGACCAGAGTTCCTAGCTGTAGCTGGGTGCGGTGGAGCATGCCTGTGATCCCAGTGGCTTGGGAGGCTGAGGCAGGAGGATCATAAGTTCAAAGCCAATGTCAGCAATTTGGTGAGACCCTAAGCAACTTAGTGAGAACCGGTCTCTAAATAAAAAATTGAAAGGGGCCAGTCTCCCTTGCCCGCTTCATGGGGGCAGTGTGAGTCCACACCCTGGGGACCATGAGAACAAGGCCATGGGAGGGGGTGAGTGGCGAGGGAGGACTCTGTCAACTAACCACAGACTACTGTGAAAGGCCACCTCTGAGTCACCCCAATGAAGCAAGGAAGGGGCCTGAAGCACAAAGACAAAGCTTTGGGAACTGACGTGACCTGGGAGGCGGAAGGCGGCTGCCACCCTTACCTTCCACGGAGATGTCCTGGATGGCGAACCTGAGGATGATGGTCCAGATCATGCCCAGCGTCATCTTGGCGTTGCCGTCTACGATCTCTGCTCGGGGGAGGAGGGGGGCTGTTAGGCTGCAGGGAGGCTTGGCTCTCCCAGGCAGCCTTCCAGCCCCACCGGGAGACCAGCTCAGCTCTCCGCTGGACCCGGGCTGCCCGCCTGCCTCCCTRGGAGGAGGCGCCACGCGCTGAGAAGACTGTTTTAAAAGCCTGCAGCTGCCGGGTGCCTCGCGTCTCTGTGTGTCTCCTAGGCCATGAAGACCTCTTCCCCAGGGACCGCTCATTGTCATRGCCCAGCTACGGAACTGCTCCGGGAGGACTGTCCCAGGTGTGTGGCCTTCTGCTCACACCTATGCCATGGCACCTAAGCTCAGGCCCGATTCTGCTTGTAAGTGAAGGCCCTGCCCTCCGCTGAGCCGGGCTCTGATGGGTCAGTGCACGGGCTACTCAGCCGTGCTGGGGACCTGGGCTGCTGCCACCCTTGTTTGTGCCCCTGCCGTCTCCTCCTAACCCCTACAGTCAGGTCACCTCTTCACAGCAGCCAGGAGGGTCGGATCTGTGTCACACCCCTGCTAAAGATTCCACTGTGCCCAAGAGGACCCTGTGTTCCGCAGTGTGGCCCACAGGGTGACTGTCCCTCCCCCTCCTGGAATCCTCTGGCTGCTCAGCAAGCCAGGTTCTTCTTTGCTTCGAGGACCTCACACCTGTCGGGCGATGGAGGATGCCCCTGGGGCCTCTCCTCCCACGAGCCTTCACTCACTCACCCCTCACTGCCCGTCTCGAGCCTCACCCGGCCCCAGCTCCTCTGCTGCCCGTGTCTCAGCGGGACACAGGGGCCTGCAAACGAGTTCAGAGGACAGGAGAGAGCATCTGGGGACCGGCAAAGGCCGCTGCAGGAGCTGGGGAGGCCAGGYGCAGCCCCCCAGAAGCGGAAACCTGAGGGCGGGCGTGGCTGGAGGACGCAGGGGTCAGAAAGTGGAGGGGTGCACCTCCCAGGGACATACCCGGAAGAAAAGGGGCACTGACAGCCACAGGAGGACAGCGGGTGAACCGCAGCTGACCCYACAGCGGCTCTGGACTTCAGGTTCCAGGATGAGGAAATGCATGCCTGCTGCCCGAGGCAGGGAAGGGACCAGTGTCTGTCCTAATCTTGTCCCAGGGTCCAAGTCCCCAGACACAGACACTGAGCAGAGCCACCTGCTCCCTCCCAGTTGTGGGGCAAAGGCAGCTCTTCCTTCGGGGCAGCTATGGGGCCCGCCACCAAGATACAGCCCTCCAGGGCAGGGGACAGCCCAATCCCACACACAGACACTCCACCAGCTGTTGTTTGACCTGCAGCTGTGCCCGAAGGCTTCCCCCTCTCGTAAACCCCACAAAGAAGCCATTCTCCCCCAACTGCCCGGCTATGTGGAAGGGCGGGGGCTGCGGCCAGGGCAGSGCCAAGTTCTCAGGTGGATGAGGCTTCATTAGGCTGCCCTCTAGCTTCATCCCAGGGCCCAGTGGTTACAGGGATTGGAAGGGAACCAAACTGGGCATGAATGGGAACATTTCAGATCAAGTTTTTCTCCAAATGAAACTGAGGCCGCCCGGTCTCTCCTCCAACCCCTTCTGTATTGACAGACGCACGTTTGAGCAAAACAAATGCAGCCATGAGCAGCACGGGCTGGAGCAGGGCCCAGGGGAGAGAGCCAGCAGGACAGAACATCTCTGGGCCTGACTGAAGTTTTGGGTTTTGATTTTTTTAAACAAACACCAACCACCTCGACTGTGGCATGCAGGGCTTGGCAGCCCTCCTGGGAGAGGTCCTGGGCCGGGGCAGGCCTTGGAACTATGCGTGCACATTCTGGCCCGGAGCTCTGGCCACACTCTCAGGGCCTGTCATTAATGGCAATTAGTTTTCTTTGTTTTTCTAAAAGCTGGGACAACACGGATGTCAGGGCAAGAAACCCTGCTCTAATGAGCAGAACTGGAGCCGGGGCTGCTGGGAGCGTCTGGGCTCCATCAGGCCTCAACTCATCTCCCAAAGCGTCCGGGAGCTCAACCCTGGGGCCCTGAGGATAGCCCGCTGCCCCAGAGGGAGGGGGAGGGCACAGGGCTGGCGGAGTGGGGTCCACGGTATCCCTTCAGAACACAGCGGATCCTGGGGCAGTCCAAAGCCTGCTCYAGAAGTCTGGGCACTGACCTTTGTCCTTGTGTCCTTTCCCAACCCCCCGACTGGGGCCCTAGGCCCCTCCTCTCCTCTGCACTCCCTCCTGCCCACACACGCCAGGCAGGGCCCTGGTGGAGGTGCTCCTGGCACAGTGGGACTAGGTCACATGTCTGTCACTGTAGCTGGGTCCAGTGCAGGAACAAATGAGGGTGACCAGGGTCTAAGTCAAAGTCATTCCTCGCCCTGTCCCTCATGGCTGGGTCCATTACACTTCCCAGATTTGGACTGCACCCACCTGGACTTCCCTGCAAGGTGTGTGGGGTTGCTGGGCCCAGTATCCTATGGAGGGCAGTCACTGTGGTCACTGTGAATACACATTGGGGCTTCAACCCCAAGGGCTCCACTACTAGACCACTGCAGGTGCTCAGAATGCAATGTCAGCCTCAAGGTCAGGAACTCGGCTGGACCCAGCCTCCCTGTCAGGAGCTCACCTTCCGCTCCGATGGAGACCAGCTTGACCCCTTTGCTGGCGATGAAGTCCAGGGCTTTGTTCACGTTGTTGATCTTGTGCACCCGCATCTTCCCACGCTCGGGCTTAGGCAGCCGCTCCCCTGAGAGAAGCAGAGACGGAGCGGACAGCGCCTTAGTGTCCCCTGCTCTCCGACACCAGGCCCTGCTGGCCCTCCTGCCCACTCTGCCCCTGCCCACAGGCCAATGCCCAGACGCCGGGGGCAACGGGGCAGTGTCTCTGGGGCCCACTGTGACGAGGCACCAGTCCCCGTGCGGGTGGCACTGCATCAGTGGGAGGCTCACCTGAAATGACCTCCAGGAGCAGCATGAGCTTGAGCCCGTCGCGGAAGTCCTCGTCGATGTTCTCGATCTGCGTGCCCGCCTTGCGCAGGTGGGAGTTGCACCAGGCTGTGAAGGTCTGGGAGGTGGGACAGAGGGGCAGGGAGGGTCAGCCGGGCTGGTGTGGCTCTTACTAAAAGCGTAGGCTGAAGTCCAGGCCCAGGAGGGCAGAGGCTACCATGGGACACTGGCTCAGGACCAGGCCCTAGAGCCACCATCTATGTGCACACTGTTTGAGCTTTAGAGTAACCCGAGCAAAAATAAGGGAGCCGAGGCCCACGGCAGGGCTTGCACTTGAACCCACCCCGTCAAGCCTGCAGCAAGCGCCCTTTCCCCCACACCGAGCTCCYGTGAGGGAGCCCACGGTGCACCAGGCAGCAGCGCCCAAGGTGGCTCTTAAGTTCTACAACCCGATGGAGCAGCAGGTCCTACAGGTGGCAAACGACAGGCAGCACCCTACCCTCCAAGAGCTCAGGTCCTCGTTTCTAGGTGGACATAGCTCCTGGCCAAGCACTGGCTTCTTCCACTGACRAATGAGAGGCTGCAGAATCCCATCAGTGGCAGATAGGGCATGGCCCGAGAAGCCACCTATAAAYGCAGTTTCCTCCCCATCTCCACACTCAGGGTGGCCCAGAGGCAAGCCTCTGAGCCCTGCACACGTCATGTAGTGGGGCTTCCTGTGGCCCAACACCCTGGCCTTTCTCTTCCCTATAGAACGTTCCATGTCCCACGCTTTTAATTTTTTTTTTTTGGTACTGGCGAATGAACCTAGGGACATTTTACCACTGAGCCATTCCCAGCCTTTTTTATTTTGAAATAACATTTCACTAAGTTGCTGGGATTCTCGGTGTGCACCTCGGAACCCCGCTCCCATCCTTCTGAATCGAACGCCTGACTTCTGACTTGWCTTAGAGCGGGTGGGCAGGGGAGTGGGAAGCAGCTACATTTGAAGAGGAATCTCTGAGGATCGGCTGGAAGGTGGGGGCAGGGGACCCTGAACAGGAAGCCAGACCTGGATGCACCTATCATGATGGCAGACCCCCCAAGGACAGGGCCACTCAGCCCCGCCAGCTGGGGCATGTTATCAGACATCAGTGCCACAGAGGCAGCTCAGACCAGTTAATACCAACGTGTCCAGACAACTCTGGGCAAACTGGTCCTTACCCTTCTGCAGCAAGGTCTTCAGAACACCCCAAGCCCCAGGAGCCGCTGTGCCCCATGCCCCAAGCTGCCTCCTCAATCTGCAGGGCCAGCGCAGAAGTGGGCAGACTGCCAGGGACGTGCAAGAGCACATTCTATGCCCAGGACACAGGCAAAGGCCACATGGGGCAAGGGGGCTTCTGTGGGGCCTCCGGCCAAGTACCGCGTGCTCTGAGGACTCTCACCAAACCTGCTTATTCAGAGCTGATACAGGCCCCTCCCAAAGACGCTGCCTAATCAGCACACACCCYATCCAGGGGCCCAGCTCCAGGCTTCAGACCACTCCCCCCTCCTCCTTGCCTGGGAGACAGACGCTGCTGTTTCCTTGGCCACCTTTGCCCTTATCACGCAGCCACCAGGCATGGGCACACACCTGTGACCCCAGCAACCTGAGAGGCTGAGGCCCTGAAGGGCTTAGTGAGACGCTGTCTTAAAACAAACAAAAAGGGCTGTGGGTGCGGCTGCAGGTAAAGTGGCCCTGGCTCCAACCCYAGGGCAGACCGGGCAGTGCCCTGAGCGCAGCTCCTCCTGGACTCCGCCCACTATCTCCCCGACAGGTGCCGACTCACAACACCGGTGGCCCTGAGCGGACACTTTGTGGCACCTGTGTAGTCTCTCAGGGGACAGGCCATAGGCAGGCTCTCACTGACGAGAATGTCCACTAGCCTTCCCAGCCCTGTTCCCCTGCTGCCCTGTACGACTCCGCAAACCCGGCCTAGCGCACTGGCTGTGGCTCCAGAGGGGCAGTTCTGCAGCCCTGGAAGGTCGCTTCCTCTCCTGTACAGATGTGCACACTGCCTGGGTCGTGGTCTCCCCCGGGGCTCCAGGCAAGAAAGCCCGCGGAGCRCACGGAGGGGCCCAGGCGGCAGCTGCTCCCTCCCTGCAGGGTCTCGGAAGCCCTCCTGCCTTGTCCAGAGTGCTTGCCCTGTTCCCTGCCTGCCCACGCCACCACGCGGTCCTTGGCACCTCTCGGGGAGACACCTCCTCCAGGCATCTGTCTTAATGCACAGAACGTGCGCAGGAGCCCTCTCCCACCTCGTGGGAATCCCACGGGGCGGAGGTGCTTTCCGTGGCACCTGAGCGCAATGCCTGCGCGGTGGGCAGAAGCCTGTGGTGCAGAGGACAGCAGCAGCAGGGGCTGGGCAGGAAGTGGCTGGGGATGTCCAGCCTCTGCTATTGCCTGTGCCTGAAAGATGCCCTTTGAAAACAAAGCGGCCAAGTCACATCCCTCAGCCTGTGGCTGCAAGACGGCAGCTCCCGAGGGTGGACCCCCATGGTGCTCCCACGCTGCCAGGAGCCCGGGCCTAGGCACCTGTCATCTGCAGGGGATGTGGGGGGGCACATGTCTAAAAGGCACTGCTCCTGGTCTCTGCCTGCCTGGGTCACCCACTGGGAGAGGCAGACCTGGGGCTGAACGGCAGCTCTGACTTCCTTGTCTTGCTTCCAACGGAGTGACTTTACTTACACAGCCCACTTCCTCCCCTGTGAAATTGGTTCATCAGAGTCCACCTCCTGCTGCTGTTGCACGGATGCCACCGGATGTGTSTGGACTGCACTCAAAGCCTCAGCACAGTCCCTGGCATGGAGTCTGCACCAGGTGAATCCCATACCTGCTCTCTGGCTGCTTCCGACCCAACATCCGGGAAAAGCAGGACCCCACCTCTGCTCTGTGAAGGCCCTCTGCCCTCTCCTGCAGCAGTGTGGAGGGAAATGTGATGTCCAGGGCCCCACACACAGTCCCCATTCCAACCTGCGGAGGCGCTGAGCGAACCTTGCCTCCTCAGGSCCAGGCCATCTGTCCTCCCAGAGTTGCTCACTACCTGCCCTCCAGCACATGCCCACCTCTGCCCCTCTACTCTGGCTAGTAAACAAAAGTTCTGGCCCGGGGATCGCGCAGACCTGGTTCCAGGCTCGCCTGTCCCACTGGGGCAGCCGCCATAACCCTGGGCAAACGATGAGCCTTGTTTTCCTGGGTGGTGGTTGGGGACTGGGATCTCTGCTCTTAAGAAGAGGATTAAACAGGAGGATGAAAGCAAATCCCTGACACTGCAGCCGGCCCAGGTTAAGCTCTCAGTGTCACACGTGGCCAGGGAAAGGCCCACGCAGCAGCCCGAGCAGAACCCCTCAGGTGCTCAGGAAGACGCCCCAGTGCGCTGGGGAGGAACTCCTTCCCCACCACAGACTCACTCACAGCCAGGGAGCCCACGGCGGCCCCCCACCCTCACCCGTGCCTTGCTTGGCCATGTTTCCTCCTCTTGAAAGGTGAGGGGCGCCTACTGACCCAGGGCTGGGGACAAGGACAGCATGGGCTCAGGAGGCCACCTCTGGGACAAAGCAACTGTGAGTGCCGCTCCTCCTTGCAGTGAGAGGGCAGGGGCTGGAGTTCYAGCAGGACAGTAGGACTCACTGTTTTTTCTACTTGGTCACAAACATGACAATTCTGCTCAAATCCTTCYTCTCCCCCAGTTCAGAGGAACGTGGGGGTGGATGGCATAGGGAGGTGGTTTCTATGCTGGAGGCCTCCTGTGCCCACCACAGCCCCACCACCAGGTGGGAGGCTCAGGGGGGGCTACGGACCCCCTGCTGACGGGCTCTGCCTGTTCCCAGCACCCTAGAACCTATTGAGCCAGACACGTTCCCTTGACAAGCACCTGCTCCTCTGCCAGGAGCCCAAAGGCAAGCAAACGCAGACCAGCCGCACTYGCCCGGAGCTCCGCACTGAGGAGCGACAGCACCCACGACCCAGCCATGATCCACCAAGAAAGCACAGCRTGAGGGAGAGCGGGAACAGCAGTGGCCACAGCAGACACTCCAAGGCCTAGCTGTGCGCCAGGCACTGGTCTGGGCACTTTGTCCTGTATTAACTTTCTCATGCCCCCACTTTCCAGATGAGGAAACAGAGGGCCTGAGAAGCGAAGGAACCTGCCCATATTAGTCACATTCCTAGAAAATTTTAGAAGCTGGATTTAAAAACAGGTATTGTGGCTTCAGAGTCCCCCCTTAGGTTATCAGATGGTTTGTGTCCCCTGCCTCATAACAGGAGCTGCAGAGAATGTCCAGCATGGTGGGGGAATGTCTCATGGAGTGGCGAGGGCAGGTGCATCGAAGTTCTCCTGAAAGGTAATTTTCAAACTCTGACCTGAGTAATGTTAAGTTCAATAAGACAAAAATAAAGGAGGCTCTGCAGATAATGGGAACAGCATGTGCTAAGGCCCCGCAGCAGGAGGATCAGAACCTGGTCAGGGAAAGGAAAGTAAGAAAGGAGTTAATGGGGCCTTTAAAAGGCTATGCTCGCCAAGTGCAGTGGTGTATGACTCAGGAGGCTGAGGCAGGAAGACTGTGAGCTTGAGGTCAGCCTCAGCAACTTAGTGAGACCCTGCCTTGAAACAGAAGGGCTGGGAATGTTCAGTGATAAAGCAACTCTGGGTTCAATCCCCAGAAGGGAAAGAAACTGAGAGCAACTTCTTCCTCCTGGCAGATAGAGGAGGGCAGAGAAGCCAGGTTGGAGGTACCTGTCCTGATWGAAACCACAAACCCAAGGTCTCAGTTTTGTGAGATCCTGGGAGGAAGCGGCCAGAGCACTGGGAGAAAGGCAAAGCATCCGGAGCTCTTCTGGACATCACTGTCATTCACCAGGGAAAGTAGCAAATCTGACCAGTTGGAACAGGACAGCGCCTCATCTAAGAAGAATTCAGTGCATTCAGCACCTGCTTGGAGGCCCTACTATGTCCTGGACACAGCAGGAAGCCCAGCAGCCTKAACATTAAAGGTGATCACACAATGATGGCTCTCGGCTGCTTCCTACACTTACACGTCACCATGATCATGCAGGACGCTATCGTCTCTACTGAACAGATGAAGAAACTGAGGCAGGAAGAG